ACCTATTTTTCCCCAAAAGTACCCTACCAATTACACAAGTATCAGACAAATGCTTCAGTGTGTGCACCTCAGATGACATTAAAACAAACACAAAGCTGCATGTGGTGCCCACACCTGTGATCCCAGCTGCCGAGGAGACTGAGGCATGGGATCCCAAGTATAAGCCCCCTCTAAGAATAAAAAGGCCCTGGGGATGTAGCCTAGTGGTAGGGTACTCACGTGGTGTGAGCTCCAGTACTCCCCACCAAAAACTACACTTACAAAAACAAAACAACCAGAAATTTGCAAATATGGGTGATAAAATCCTGGCCAATACTTTTAGGCCTGCAATAATAAAATCTGACCTAAATAAATTTTTAATTTATAAGATTTTAGTCAGAAAAATCTTAATGATTCTCTAACCCCACAAAGAGGGAACACATAGCACTCACATCAAATTGTCATTTCTAAAAAGAGAGTTCATTGGCTTATGAATCTTTCAGGAGACTTGACTACAGCCAAGAAACACATTAAGGCTAGTAGTAATCATTCATTTGCAGCGGGAGCACCAGCCTATGCCGGCTCGGGCCTACCGTATACACCATAAAGGCACCTATTATGAATGAGTAAAATGGCACCCAGACAGCTCACAACCGCCCAAGCAGCCTACTTAACTCCCATGGTGCCACGTGCCACACACCTTATATCTCTCCTCAACACTCTCTCCCTTCTCCTACCATTAAATTCTCATTTAACTCTGTAAGAGAAGGCTTTGAAACACCAGCCTGAATGTAACATTCTTAAAGCAACAACCTCAGTTGTCGCAAGCTTTAAAATTCTCACCTGCAAAGGAAAAAAAAAAAAAAATCCTAAGAAATCAACCTCTGGTCTTCTACAAAAACAAAGTAAGCCAGGCAATGCAAAGTCCTGTGATCCCAGCGACTCGGGGGCTGAGGGCAGAGGAATGCCCCTGCAAAGCCAGGCTCAGGAAATTATAGAGCCCTGTCTCAAAATAAAAAATGAAAAGGGCCAGGGACACAGTCCAGTAGCAAAGCACCCCTGGATTCTGGGTTCAATCCCCAGTGCCAATAAACAAAGCACAAATGTCTGACAAAGGTGGACTGTGAAAACATCTCTGTGAACTCAGTTGTCCATCCAACTTCATTAGAAATTGGAAAAAACCCATGGAAATGCGCACACAGTCCCTCAGGTAGAAGCCACAGAGAGCCACATTCAGGGAGAAAAGGCCCTGACAGACGGAAGACACCCAGAGCTTGGTTGCTTCATGCCTTTTTATAAAAACTTCCAAGCATTTTTCCAAATCTAGGCGGCTCCCCAAGACAGGAATGACAGCAATGAGGTATTTGCACATGACTTCGGAGAACACCAGTTTGCGCTCCCTAAGCAGTCTAATCCCTGGGGACTTGTGTGTGCTTAGGAACACCGGGAACACCACTCCACAGGTCGCAGGAATACTCAGCTACCGCCTTCACCAAGAAGACACCACCAAGGGAGCCCGGCGCTGGGGCCTACCTGGGGCAGTGCGGTACTGAGCTGTCTCTGCAAGGAGTCTCGCTCGTGGCCAACCTCGTGCAGCTTCCCCTGGGTCAGCGCCAGGGTTTCCTGAGTCTCCCTCAGCGTGTCCAGGAGCCGGTCCCGCTCTTCCAGCATGGAGACCATGAGTTGCTCAAAGTGGGAATCCGCGTCTGGCTGCGAGGGGGAGCCGGACCCGTGGCTCCCGCCTCCTCCGGGGGGACCTTCTGCTTCACTGATGGTCGGCATCACCTCGCACATCATCTGGGGACCACAGACCCGAGCAAGTCACGAAGTGCAGAACAGGGTCCCCACAAGGTGCACCTGCAGGATCCCTGCCGCCGCGTCCCGAGTGGCAGCCGCGTTCCCAGCGCAGCCAAGCGGCGCGCACCTGGGCAGCGGCTCCCGCGGCAGCACCCAGCCCCGCGCCGACCAGGCAGGAGGGCCAGCGGGCCACCCCGGGGTTCTGGGCACTGCCCGTCGCCCCAGGTGCCGGGCTCTCGGCGTCACGGGGAGCGAACCCGCCGCCTAGGCGGTTCCCAGGCGGAGCACGGCCCGGCACCGGCGCTCCCGGGACTCTCGGGCGGACTTCGGCGGCTCCAACGGGCAGGGACTGGCCGAGGACCGGGAGAGGTGTTCTCCGACGGCCGCGGCGGCCTGACTTACGTAAGCTCCCGGCCACGGAACGGACCGAGTCCGCTCCGGGAGCCGTGGGTCCGCGGGCCGGGCCGGCGCGGAGGGCACCCCGGGGAAGGCGAGCTGCGAGGGCGCCCGGGCCTCCGGGACGCACACCTGGCGGGGCCTCCGCGTCCCCGCCGGCCGAAGGTGCGCGCGAGCGGCCACAGGTGCGCGGCCTCGCGTCCCGCCGTCCGCGCTGACACCGCCGCCCGCCCGCCCGCCCGCCGCCTCGGTCTCCCGCTCCTCACCTTGCTCGCCGGCGGGCGCGGCCGGGAGGCTCCGCGGCGGGCGCGGGTGGCGGCGCGCTCCGGACGAGCTCGGGGGCCGACGAAGGCGGCCCGCGGCCGGCGTCCGCGCCCCCACGCGCGGCCCGGGCCCGCCGCCCCAGTCACGAAGGCCGGCCCGCGGCCGGACACTGGCTAGCGCAGAGGAGCGGGCCCGGCGGCGCGTCGCCGGCGTCGACGTGCCCGACGTCGGGCGCGTCGGCGCGAGCGTCAGCGCCGCCCCGGGGTCCGGAGTACCGCGGCCCGAGTGCGCACGCGCTGCCCCCGCAGGAGAGGGCGGGCTGCGCCTCGCTTGCGCTGATTGGCTGGGGCTGGCCCGGAGCCCCGCCCTAAGGCCGCGCCCCGGCGGTGGCTGGCGGAGCCGCAGGTGCGAACTCAGGTGGTCGCTGGGATCCTCGCACCGCGGATCCGGGGCGCTTGGCGCTGTCCCAGGTCTGTCCCGGCGGCCGCGGGGTCACGAGGCACTTAGCCGGCGACTGCGGGCGTCAGGCGCTGAAACAGACTTCGCAAACGTACGTCCACCCCGCTCTCCCGAGCGGTACCGGGAGCTGGTCGGCGCTGCGGTCAGCTGCGCAGAGTCGGGAGCGCGCGGAGCCATCCATGCGAGCCAGGCCTCCTGCGAACTGTTCCTTCTGGCTCGGAAGGACGCGGTGTCCACGCAAGACCCACTCACTGAGCGCCGCCTGCTGTACCTGGGGAGGCAGAGATGAGCGGCGCGCGATTTTGAGGCTCCTGGCGGTGTGTGGAGAGGCCGGCTGCGGAGCCCAGGCCCAGCGGCCTCCCCTGCCCGCCGCTCCTTTTCCCCTGCTTCAGGAAGCTGGGCAACTCGGGAAGCTCGCCTGGGACTCAGGGCCTCCGCTGTAGGATGGGAAAGTGACCCAGGCCTGCGACGCAGTGCTGAGAGGTGGAAGTGAAAGCCGAGGAGCTGACAGCCTGGCTGGAGGCCCCTGCTCGTTCGGGTCGTCTTTATCCTCCCTGCAAACATTTCTAAACGCCTACTGTGTGCCAAGACCTGGGCTAAATCTTGCAGGCACGGAGATGAATAAATGTACCTTTAATAAACTGAAGAGCACACATTCTTTGCAAACCCAAATGTCAAGGCATCTTTGCTGTTCACCAGGGGTCACTGTGTGCAGTTGGTGGTGAGCAGCCAGAGCCCCTGAACTGAGGAAGGCAGCATGGGGTGAGAGGGCCGGAGGTGATCCCTTCCCAGGTCGATTCGTGATTCCCACACTGCGAGTTCGCCAAGAACAGGCACCGAGTGTGCTTGACTTTCCTACACACCAGGCTCGGGTGCACTTCCTTCCATTCATTTTGTTGTTCATTATTTATGGAATATTTATTCATTATATGTTGACTAACTGCATAAATGTGCATTCATAAATGCACTTCCGGCCCTCAGCTTTTTGCTATTTTAAAGTTGTACAAATGTTCTGTGAGGTGTTCTGCAGGTACCCCTTGTACCTCCAATCAATTCTGTACAAGTCCCCAGTTCCCCTGGTCGAGGGCCTGGGAAGAAGAATCCCAGGTGTTATCACAGGTAACCTGCTTAATCATCTTGCCCATGTCCTCATAGAGCCCAGAAGGTTCTATCAGGCTCTATCACCACAATGCCAAAATGTAGTTGAACAGAGTAAACTGTTCATTCACCGCATGATGGGAGCTTCGCAGAGAAGAACAACACTCAAGTTTTTCCAACAGAGAAGGGAGAAGCCCTATGGGTACTGCTTCAGGAAATCCTGGGTTTCATTCATTCCCATGAACTTTTGTTCCCCCAGATTGCAAATCAGTAAGCGGAAAGCTGTAAGCAACCTAAATGTCTCACAAAAAGAGATGGTTTAAATCATGCACTTGCAAGCCACAGAAAATTTGGCTGTCACGGTCATAGTTTAGATAACTGCCTGATGACAGGCATAATTCTGCATCCTGATCATGGTGGTAGTGACTCGATTGTGTACTGTTGGCAAAACTCACCCAACTACGCTGATATGTAAAGCATGCCCTAGTTTTTATAAATGGAGGGAAATCCTGTAAAAAATCAAGATCAAAACAAGTATCCACAGTGTGTACCTAATTCAGAAAACAGCCTCTGCAGACTCAGGCAGAGCGCTTGCCTAGGAGCTGTGAGGCACTGCATTTGATCCTCAGCACCACATAAAAATAAATAAAAGTAAAGGTATTGTGTCCATCTACAACTAAACAGAAAAAATTAAAAAACAGCCTGTTGAGGTAAAGAATGTATTGCTTAAAATTTATCATCTTGTATTTGGAAGCTCTAGACTTATTAATTAAATAGAACTTTTTAACAAAATAATTTTTGTATGATATACTTTTGAAAAGTGAAGTTAAATTTCATATCAAATTTGTCAAGAAAACCATATCTATAGATGAAAATAGTGTCCTGTATTCAATTCATTCTCCAGTTCTTCCTCTCTCTCTCCACACTCACACACGCGCGCGCACACACACAATTGTGGTTAGAGTTTTCCTTTCCTCTGTGCTGATCTGTGTCTTCCAGATACCTCATTGTGAATGTGCATTATTTTTATCATTAGGAAAACCTCCCAAGCACATTACTTCGATAAAGCCAAGGCGAGACAGATGGTGAGGAATTGCCTTCTGGAAGCTGAAATGGCTTTGCTCCACACCACCCAATAAACCACTTCCCAAAAGCTTTTGTCTGAAGCACATTTCGGAGTTGGGTGGTAGCCTCAGAAGGCTCTATCAGAAAACAATGAAGATGGAAAAGCTTTCTGTCCAGTTCTTCTGTTAAAGACTCTGTGCAGCAGGGCCGGAGGAAGCAGATTTACTACCATACCCAGAGTCTGATCTCCCAGACGGGGCTGCCGCAGAGGCCGCCAGCTGCTCTCTGGAAGGCATCTGGATGGTGTAGCTACGGCTAGGGTTTGGTTTGGTCTGACCCTCAAAGGGTCGTGTGCTGGAAGCTTAGTCCCCTGCCTGGTGGTCTTCAGAGATGGTAGAATCTTTCAAAGGGGCTCATGGGAGGAGATGAGGTGGGGAGGGGGCTGGAGGGGTGACATCATTCTCTTGAGATGCTGGTTGGTTCCCAAGACAGTGAGTTGTTACAAAAAAGAGCAAGAGCAGCCAGGCACTGTGGCACACACCTGCAATCCCTGGGGCACACACCTGCAATCCCCGCTACTCTAGAGGCCAAAACAGGAGGATGGCAAGTGGGAGGGCAGTCTGGGCAACTTAGCAAGACCCTGTCTCACAAAACAATTTTAGAAAGGGTTGGGGATGGAGCTCCGTAGCCTAACATGCCTGAGGCCCTGGGTTTGACCCCCAGTACCAGGGGGAAGATAAGAGTAAGCCCTTCCCCACTCTCTGGCTTCCAGGCTGGCGGGAGGTGTCTTCACACATTCCCATCACTATAATGCCACCCACTATGAAATCTTTACAGATCTTTACTCAGAAACTGTGAGCTAAATCAACCTCTCTTCTTTACAAAATACCCACCCTCAGGCATGTTGTTATAGCAACAGAAAAGGGTTGAATGCAGTTATCAACCAGGAGCATTGCAGGACACAGGAGGCTCCTCCCTTCTTGAGACATAAGCAGCCCAAGAAGGAGGACCCTGCTGAGGTTGGGGAGGGGCCCTGACCATCCAGAACGAGAAGCTCCCTAACAGGAGGTCTGTAGTGACACTGCTCTGAACTGGGAAAGCCCAGTGGGGTGGGCACTGGACAATGTGGCCCCCTAAGAGGAGGAGCCCAAAGCCCAGGGATGCAAACAGGATTTCTCAGGGAACAGATGGCTCAGCTGCCGTGTGGCAGAGCTGGGACTGGGGCTCTGACTGAACCTGGGGTCCCTCACTGCCGGGCTATCCCTCTGTAGCGACCAGGGAGTGGTCTCACCCCGCTTCGTCCCTGGCACAAGTCTCCACTGAGCTGTCCTCGACTCTTCCACGTGGCAGTGCTGGATCAGAGGGCCTGGTGGCTGCTGGGCCGGGAGCTCGTGGGCCCGAGTGTCCTTGTCTCTGTGGCTGTTCTGTTGTCATGGTAAGTCAAACAGTGGGAACAGGGGTCATGGGCATCTGTCAGGGCCTGGCTCTGTTGGGGTCAGCTCCAGGACGTGGGCACCCCTGGGCGGGGTGGAGGACCACATCTGCAGCGCTTCAACGTCCTCGCCAGCGCAGCTGCCTTCTCTCGCGAGGGAGACCACGGAGCCTGGACGGGGCCAAGCGTCCTGCACCCCAAGCTCACGGCTGTGGGAGCAGGGAGGGGCTCCAGCCATCAGGGTCTCCAGGCCCTCAAAGCTGCAAAGCACCGAACCCAGTGCCCACCGTGGGGAGCGGGATCTGGCTCCCGCCACCTGATCTGATCTGTCACCCACCCAGGTGCCTCGCCAGGTGCCCTCAGAGCCCCCAGTGGGGGGCGCTGCCCTGGCCTCACTCCACCTGTAACCATGCTTTGAAGCCGAGTCCCAAACATTTTGCCGCCTGCTGCTCTGGGCAGCTTCCCTGGGTTCACAAAGGAGCCTCCGCAGGGAAGGCAGGCGGAGCTGGTGTCCCTTCACCTCTACCTGGGCCCCAACCTCCTCCCTGTCAAAGAGGGGACTCCGACAGACACCCCCACTGGAGCGCTCACTGTGGGCTCCCCGAGGCACTCCCGCTGGCTCCCTCTGGCCACCTCGCCCTCTCTGGAGGGGCTGTCCACTCAGTAGTGACCTCTCTGGAGGGCAGCTGCCTGACTGGACTTTTGCCTCTGCATCTTTCTCCGTCGCTGGCTGTGTCCTCTCAGGCAAGTGGCCGCAGTCTCCCCGGCTGTGAAGCAGGGATGGCAGCCCATCTCTGATTGCTATGGGGTGGGGTGGGGGGGGAAGCTCCGTGGGGACACTTACCGCTAGAGAAAGCCCTGTTTATCGGGTTCATGCTCATCCCACCCGCCCCAAAAGGAACCAGTGTTGGTCCCACTCCACCAGCATCTTGTTCCCTTTGCCCTTGGTAGGCTAGGAGCTGAGACCCTGTTCTCGTGAGGGAAAATGTACAGGTGTTGTGGGATCTTAATCTCTGATAAAAGAGAGAGCAGAAGAAAGTCTCACTCTTTGGAACTCTGCCCTTGAGGACTGGGACTGTGGCAGCCATCTTGAGTTCATGAGGGACGACTTTGCTCCTTATCTTCCCATAAAACTCCTTCCTACTGTTTCTCAGGACATTTACGTTCTTCCCAACCCCAATCGCAATGAAAATAAGGCAAGAGATTGAGAAAGGGGGGCTGCACTTGAATCAAATGTATGAAATATGATATGTCAAGAGCTTTGTAATGTTTTGAACAACGAATAAAAAAAAAGAGAGAGAGAGAGAAAAGGGGGCTGGGGTACAGCTCAGTGATAGAGCACCCCTGGGTTGATTCCCCAGTACCATAAAAGGAGGGAGGGAGGGAGGGAGGGAGAGGTATTATCACTCTCCTTGGAGACCTAAACTTAACAATGGACATGGAGAGGTCACTGGTTCAAAGGAATCCACTGACGTCAAGTCAAATACAAGGGCGATGCTGTCACCAGCATTCAAGGTCAAGGCTGAGGACTCTGGAAAGAGCCCCTGGAGAGCAACGGCCAGCCTCCAGCCTGGCTCCTAGGCGTGCCCTGTGGCAGGTGACAGTCTGGCCTGGCCTCAGAGCCCTTCTTGAAAAGCAAACACACCCCTGTGTGTGTGCATCACCAGGGAGAGGAATGGGGGGGGGTCCTGGAAAGGCCGGCCTCCTCCCTCGCCCACCCTGAGTGGCAGGCACCACCAGCCCCGGCCTCCACTCTGGGCCTGGGGCTTCCCCCACCCCCCTCATGCAGGTGAAATCCTTTCAGCATTACAAAAGGAACCCCAGGTGGCCCTGCAAGACCTCCAGCCCCACCAGCCAAAGCAGGGGACAGACCTAGTGGTCTCCTGTGGAGAGAGTCCTGACTCTGAAGGAGGGTGGTGGGGGTCCTTGCTGGGGGCGGGGGAGACAGTGTTCACCGCACCGAGCCTCCAGCTGGCTGCAAGAGAGTTCTGGGGTGAGTTACGCAAGGCCAGGGATGCTCTAAGCGCCACCAGCTGTGAGCCTGAACATGCTTGTGGTGGGAGACTGCGAGTTGTGTAGATTTCACCACGATTAAAACGGGTACCTAGACCTCCCTATTGCCCAACTTAAACATGCCTGTGGACGCTCCTAAGGAATTTTTCTGCAGCTGAAATATTTGTCATGAAACAAAAATCAAGATTATCAGATTGGGACGGGCATGGTGGTGCACGCTTGTGACCCCACAGACTGAGGCTGAGGCAGGAGGATTGTGGGTTTGAGGCCAGCCTCCACAACTTAGCGAGACCCTGTCTAACAACAAAAATTTTAAAAAGCTGAGGGGGGCTGAGTTTGTGGCTCAGCGGTAGAGCACTCCCCTAGCATGGGCGGGACCCGGGTTCGATTCTCAGCAACATATAAAAAAATAAATAAAGGCATTGTGTTGTGTCCATCAACAAAAAAGATTCATATTCTCTCTTTAAAAAAAAAATTTAAAGGGCTGAGGATGTAATTCAGTGGCAAAATGCCTCTGAGTTCATTTCCCAGTACCCAAAACATAACAAAAAAAAAGAAAAAAAAACTATTATCATATTGGACAACTAATCTTTTAAACATTAGATATTTATAGAGAACCCGGTTGTTATTCCCCGGCTGGGAGGCTGACATCAGCTGGGAATTTGGCGACTGTGTCATTTTTTCGGTGCTGGGGACAGAACGCCGGGCCTCTCACCTGCTAGGTAAGCACTGGTCACTGAGCCACACCCAGTCCTCTACTGGCTCTTGGGAAGCCGTGCTTACTGCCACCCTGAAGGCAGAGCACGGGGAGCCTGTGCCTCCTGAGCCACCTGGAGGACACCTCAGGGACGGACACCGGGCATGTGCTCTGAGCACCTCCGGGGGCTTCCAGGACTGCGCAGGGCAGCAGAAAGGCCCTGGGATGCTCTGCCGCAGCTCCGACAGAGTGTGATTTTTTCACATTTCATTCACTTGCCGCCGTGTGCCGGGCACCAGGCCAGACGCTGGAAATACATCAATAAGTCCAGGCGCCAGAATGCATGGTCCAGGTGGAAGAGCCGAGCAGTGGACAAGGAATCGACATCTGGTTGAAAAGAGCCGGGCTGCGCCCAGCGAGGTGCCCTGGGCGGGAGCCCGTTGAGGCCCAGAGGCGTCCTAGGAGGATGGCCTCTGGTTCCACAGGGGAGGAAATGAGCGTCCCCCAGGGGAACCAGAGGGGGCGACAGACCAGCTGGGCTGGATGGACCGATGCCCAGCCGGGCCCTGGTGCTGGGCCTGGGCCTGTGCGTCGGTCCTCTCTGCCACCCGTGTGCTGGTCTGGAGTCCCAGGCTGAGGGTTCCCTGTGAGAACCGGCCGTTGAGGAGAGCTTCACTCCGAGACGGGCCTGTGTCTCCCTGTGTCCTCGCATGGTGTCCCCCGTGTATCTGTGTCCTGGTTGCCTCTTCCTCCACGGACCCCAGTCCTACTGGAGGAGGGCTGCCCTAGTGACCTCACTTTATCTTAGTCACCTCTTTGAAGACCCTGTTTCCAGCCGGCACAGGGCACACACCTGTGATCCCAAGGACTGGGAGGCTGGGGTGGGAGGATCGGGGACAGAGGGCAGCCCAGGACGTGCCGCCTCTGACACGGACACAGTGGTCATCTGTCTGCCCGCCCTCAGCACCGCCTGCCTACGACATCTCTGTTCCCAAGGTGTGACAGCAGACCAGCGTCAGCCAGCACCACAGGGCGAGACCCTGGTGAGACCCGGTGAGAGATGTTCTGCACCAACAGAGCCTGAGCCTGGGCCTGGGCCTGGGCCCTCGTGGGCCTGTGCGGCTTCCTCACCTGGGCGCTCACATGGGGCCTGCTGGGGCCCGAGACTTTCCCACACTTTCAGGTGTCCACGCTCCAGGCTGCCCACGGCCCCTCTTTGTACTTGGGTGGGTCTGAACAGGCCTGGAAGAAGCAGGGGTGGGCGCGGCCACCAGAGGCAGAGGCCAGAAGCGGGTCCCCGGCTGGAGAGGCAGTGCGGGCCGCACGGGGTCAAGCCACAGTCCCTCCTGCAGGGCCCAAGGGACAGCTGGGAAACGCTGTGGTAACCCAGTGCTGCCACTCGACAGAGGGCCTGTCCCGTGGAGTCACGGCACCGGGAGCTGGGGCTCCCGGAACAGGAGGGGACCCTTTAACCTCTGATGAAAGGTGGCCTTCCTCAGGACTGCACACGAGAGGACTTAGCCAGCAGGGGGACCCAGCGGCCCAGAAGAGGGGCCCAGCAGGGGCTGCCTGGATTGGAAGCAGGACCCCCCTCCTCTCCCATGAGCTGCACCAGGGCATAGTCTGTCCGTCTGCGTGTCCATCCGTGTGGGTCCTGGGCATGAAGCAGGTGCCCAGGCATTATCGAGGGGGCAACTGCTGTCCCAGAAGTCCCCGTCAGCTGTGCATGTGCCATCCTGGGACCCAGGGAGCTCCCCAAGGCCTCTGGAGCCTCGGTGTCCCTGCCAAGGCACACACTGTCTGGATGTGCAGCTGGCTGGTCCTAGTGGGGACGAGTCCTTTCCAGAGAGAAAACAAGTGACCTTCCTGTCATGCACCGGACACCATTTTGCACACACCCTGAACCTCTGTGTGGGTGACCTGGACCCCGGGGGGTGATGTGGCTTTTGCTTAAAGGCCAGAGCTCAGGGTGCCCTGCCGCGTCCCTGGTGGCTGAAAAACAGGTTCTCCCGGCCTCCAGCCCGTTTCTCACCACTTACGCCCAACGGGAACTGGCCGGGGGCAGGCTCCTGCGGCCTGGTCACAGGCTGCGTCCCTTGCTCTGCGTTCCAGAAGAGCTTCCCAGTCCTGGCAGCGTCCGCGAGGCGGGAAGGCGGCTGGGCGGCGCCGGGGGGTCCTGGTCTCCAGAGCCCTGCCCCTCAGCCCAGCTCATCAGGTGGCCTGCATCAAGGAAACCTCCCTGCGCCGCTGGCCCAATGGGGTCCCCCCCCCACCGGCTTCCAGAGCACGCAGAGGGCATCTGCAGCTCACAGCTCCGTGCGTGGGCCTCCCGTGTGGCCCTCCAACTTGCCACACTGTTCCTGCCCAGGGCCTCTGTACTCTACCTGCCCAGAGCACCCTGCCCGGGCCTTCGTGAAGCTGATGGCTCCCGGCCTCTGGGTCCCCAGGCCTCCTCCGGGAGCCACCCTGCAGGAGCCCCCGCCTAGCTCCTCCCCCTCCCTCCCTGGTGTTCCTGCCCAGGGGCAGGTGGGGCAGGGAGAAGCAGGGCCCTGGGCAGTGAGCTTAGATCTGGAGGGCCCGGAGCCAGATGACCAGGTTCTCTCCCGTCCCACTACATGGGACGGTCTGTGAGGCCAGGGGCCGAGCACACAGGTGGCCCTCGCGGAAGACGCGCTGGAGGTAGGGTCCTGGAAGCACGGGGTGGGAGGCGCCCTCGTGGCGGGGAGGCGGGTGGTCTTCCTGGAAGGGGAGACAGTGAGGAGGGATTAGGACGAGCCAGTGCAGAGGCTGCCAGGCCCCGTCCCTGGGCCCCAGGACCTGGGGGCAGGACTCACACAGCCAGAGACAAAAAGCCCCGAAGAACCAAGAAGGGAGCCCGTCCCTCCCACCCTTCTCCTGAGGGGCAGCCTGAGGCCTCTCCCTTGCGAGGTCACGGATGGTGGGGCCCTCCTGCCCCTTTCCCACTGCCTGACCTGTAGGCGTCTCCGCCCCGTGGCGTCAGCTCAGGAGGGCTGTGTGGGAGCGGAGCTGGCAGGGCCCCTCGCTGGCCTCGCAGGGACTTGCCCAAGAAGAAGGGGCTCCAGGCTCTCCTGGGAAGGACGGTGAAGACCGCTAAGGAAAACTAAGACCAAACGCAGCACACCTCCAAGTGGTGGGCGGGACGGGCGTGGCCCCCGGGCCGGGAGGGCAGGGCATCCGGGCAGGCGGGCATCCGGGCAGGCCTGCAGCTCACCTCCTGGGCCTGGGGGCCTCGCTGGGGCAGAGCTCCAGGCCGGAGACAGCGGCGGCCATCCCAGCGGGAACCTCCTGCCCCCGGCCCAAGGCTCAGGCCCACACCTGCTCTGTCCTAGGAGGCAGAGGGCAGCGCAGGCAGCGGCCCCAGGCAGGGCCGGACTGGGCAGCTTCAGGGAGCCCGGGAGCAGAGCCCAGGCCTGGCCTGAACGTCCTCTGGTGGTGCTGGAGCCATCCAGTGACAAGCCAGGGGCCAGCCCTCCAGATCTGACCCTGGACCCCCACTTCCTGGGCCTCAGGTTTTCTCTTCTGTGATGTAGGAGTGACCACAGGCCTCAGTGCCAGCAGGGTGCTGTGGGGCTGGACCTGCGGGCACCTGGGCCTGGCTGGGGAAGGCCTGGCACACCTGAAGGGGCAGAGGCCGCCAGCTGAGCTCCGCTCGTCACGTGCAGTGAGGGGCTCTGCTGGCACAGTGGAGGCCGGGCCAGGGGAGGCGGGGAGGCTGCCAGGCTGGGCGCAGGTGCCCCAGGAGGCCTGGGGTCCAGGAGTCCAGGTCCGCGATTCTGTTACTCGGCATCCACAGCTGGACCTGTGGGGCGCCTAATCCTCTGGCGACCCCTTACACATTGCTGAGGGCTGCCACCAGCCCTCTCCCCGCCATCTGCTCTCTCCGATGACCATGACCATTTAGATGCTGCTGGCCCCTGTGCTGGGGTGAAGAGTGTGTCCCCCAAACGTGACGTCCACCTGGAGCATCAAACTTGAGCTGGTCTGCGGAGAGAGCTTTGGCTGAGGCCATGCTGCACAGGGGTGGGTTCTAACTCGGTGACTGGTGGCCTTGTAAGAGGATCAGGTAAACACACAGGGACCAGGCCATGGCCACCGTGACAGGGACAGGGGTTGTAGTGGCCTGCCAAGAGCTGCTGAGAGCTGCCAGTAGTGGACGAGGCAGCTGGACCCCGAGCCTCTGCAGGGAGCTAGGAGCCTGCCCCTCCACAATTTGGGACCAGCCTCCAGGATCTGAAAGAGCAGATCCCTGCTGCAAGCCTCCTGGTTTGGGGGCGCTGTTTCGGCGGGGTGGAAAGCCAGCAGGACCCCCACTCTGTCCCCTCTGCCACAGTCTCCTGAGCTTCCCGCCTGCAGCCCCTCCCGCCTGCCAGACCCTGCCTCCCACTGGGCTCTTGCAGAACCTTACACACAGGACCTCTTGCCTTACACACAGGACACGTCCCCCCAGTCCCTCCACACCTGAATGTGCCAGGCCCCAACGCCTGCGCTTAGGACCCAGTTCAGATTCCCTCCGGGACCTTGAGGTCCTCCCAGCTCCCCCTGCTCAGCTCCCGGCTCCAGGCTGGCCTGCCACCCTGCCTCCTGCCCACGGGGAGCATGCCCCACGTCGCTGCCCTCCTCCAGCCTGGGCCTCGACACGGGCGTCCAGCCCAGCAACAGCCGCACACTGCGGAGTAGAGGCCCTCTGATGGCCTCCCCGGCCACGTCGGGGCTCAGCACTGGGACCCAAAGACCTGACGGAACGAGTGCGGAGGAGGAAAGGCTCACGGGGTCTCTGGGGTCAGGTCTCAGGCCACAGAGGCCGACCAGTGCTCTGGGCCCAAGGCGGGGCAGAACGCCGTGGTGGACAGTGTCGGAGGGAAGCAGCCCAGGCCACGGCCACCAGGACGCAGAGAGTGCTCCGCTCACCAGGGACAAAACAGAAACCCCAAGGCAGGTCCCCAGTGACCCGCCTCCTCCAGCCACACCCCACCTGCCCACAGTGGCCGGCAGTCCCTGACAGCAACCAACGCACTGAGCAGGCTGAGGCTCCCGGAACCTCCTTGCACCCTCTCACACAGGAGCTTCTGGGGACACTCACATCTGAACCCGAACATCACCTGAAAGTGGTCTCCATGAGGCGGAGGTCGGGACGTCTGTCTCCCCCTCCCCCGGCACACAGCAGGTGCACAACGGGCAGTGACGGGGCAGATGAAGGTGTGGGTGATGGACGGGGAGGACGGACGGGTGGCAGGGGGAGGAGGATGGCGGATGACGGTGGGAGGAGGGGTGGGCGAGAGCGCGGAGGGGAGGGCAGCGGGTCGCCTCGGCCCTCCAGGAGGCCAGGCTGGGCGGGGGAGGCCACGGGAGGAGCGAGGGGCGGGGGACAGCGGCCCAGGTGGTGGAGTTAAGTGAGCACTTCCTTTTTTCTGGGCACCGGACCTGACCCTTCGTCCTCACGGCTTGGGGTGACAGGTTTCCCCATTCCGAAGTCTCATTTCATTGGTCATTATTATCCTAATAAAATCTGAATGTCCCCCTCACACATGGCGGGACACTTCAAGGTACAAGAGAACAGACAGGGACAAGTAAGCGTCCCCACTGCTCCTCCCGAGACGCCGCAGACTTGGTAGGAGCTCACTGAAGGGGGCTGGACTGAGGGGCATCTTACATGAAGCCCAGAGAGGCTCGGGAAGTCGCCCAGGGCCTCACAGCCTGCGCCCGGCCCAGGAGGAGGGGTGAGCAGGGCAGCCCGCGGGAGGGTCGCAGGCGGGAAGGCAGCCAGTCACAGCGTGTGTGTGTGTGTGTGTGTGTGTGTGTGTGTGTGTGTGTGTGGGGCCAGGGAGGAGCCCGGCGAGGGAGGCGCTGAGAGGCCCTGGGTGCTGGGACGGGGCGGCACCGCCAGGCCGCAGGGCAGGGCAGCGAGGCCTGCTGTACCTGCTGGTCCTCCTGCAGCGCGTTAGTCACTCCCTGGCTCCAGGAAGGAACACGCCGTCCTGCCCACACACACGCGGGCGCCCAGGCTGGGACTGACTCTCACGGGGCCCCTCTGGCTCAGAATCAGGAGGCCTGGTTCCCGGTCGGGGCTCGGAGCCTCGTGTGGCCCGTCCCCAGGACGCCAGCATCAGGAAGCAGCTGGGCAGCTGCAGGGCCGCAGGAGCCTGGTCCCAGGTCCCCCACCCTGAGCCTGCACACGCCGAGAACACGGTGTGGCTCGGGGCGCAGGGGGTGCCCGTCATTTGTCTCGCTGTCACCCCGTCACCTCCCGCGGTCGGTTTCCTGAGCCCAGCTGAGCCCAGCTCCCTGCTGGGGTGTGGAAACAGAAGGTGAATCCCCGGGTGGCCAGTCCACAAGGAAGTCAGGCCGTGACCCGGGAGGGACCTGCTGGGTGAAGGGGACGAGGCTGAGGCAGTAGTCGCAGGCGGCCAGCTCCTGGCCCTGCCCTCAGGTGTCCCAGGGGCTTGGTGGCTGTGAAGCTCAGGACGCACGTGGACTCCCTGGAGGAAGGCGCCCACTTCACAGGGAGGAGGACGGCGGGCAGCTGAGGCGCTCACACGCCCGGTCCCCCGGCCAGCTGACCGTGGCGCTCGGCCAGGGCGAGGGCCCATAGGGAGGCTGCGTGATGCTGAGGAGCAGAGAGAGAAGCCGGTCACGGAGTCCCAGAGGCTGAGCGCGGTGACAAACACCATCTGCTGGTGGACGCTGGATGCTGGTGACTGCCCCAGGGAGACTGGTGGCTGGGGCCGGAGGTAGAGGCGGGCAGCAGGGCCTGGGTGCGGGGACGCCAGGCGCAGTGCCGCAGTGCGGTGAGCAGCTTGGCGCTGTCACCTTGAGCCACACGGTGAGGACATCTTTGCTTTCCGTTCCCCGCTGGTCCCTCAGAACAAACTGAGGAAATCCACCTGGGTGGATGACCTGCTCTGTCCTCTGACGAGGAAGCTGCCCCTGAGGGCTCCAGAACGCCACTTTTTCATGACAGCCATCGTTATTTTTACATTCACTGCAGGGGAGACTTTGTGGCAAGCGTCTGAAATCTGCAAGAGGCAGTGTCTTCAATAAAAGAACTGCACTTCTCCTGCACAGCTCAGTCCTGCTGTGGCCTTCGAGGGCGGCTCTGTGGTCCTTAGGGAGCCAGGCTCCTTCTAGTTGGTTTACCTCCTCCTTATCCAACAGTGCTGCCTGTGCTCCAGCTCTCATGCTTGCATTCCAGTAGAAGGGAAGAAGGGGATTTGGAAGGCCATACCCCCTCTCTTTAAGGGCACTTCTGGGAAGCTCCACACACCACCAGTTCAGCTCACTTAGAACTCGGTCAAATGGCCACACCACACTGCGAAGGGAAGTTGGGAACACCCCTTGAATCTGGGGGGCCGTCTGCTCCACTTAGCCCTGGGGACCTGGCGTGGAGCAGGAAGCCTTGGACAGGGACAGGACGCCGGTGTCTCTGCCCCAGACCACCTTCCCTGTGGGATGGAGCACTTAGTTACTTTTCTAACTTAACTTGGGGCCGGGGTGGAGCTCAGTGCTACGGCACTGGTCCTTGCCCCACGAAACCTGAGTTAAATTAATAAGATTAAGTAAGAGAGTACGTGAGTGAAGGCCTGGGCGGGGCCTGGTCCAGGCCAAAGTGGCCCCTTGACTGTCCACTCACAGGGTTTGGGAAGCACAGGGGCAGCTTGCCCGGGTTGGGGCCAGCTCAGGGGTCACTGGTAGGAGCTCTCTGGTCCCTGGAAGGCGGGGGTCTGGGAGGGAGAGCCCCAGCAGGAGCCCAGGAGGAAGCAAGGTGGTCCAGAGACAGACTGGGACGGCCCGAGCCAGGCAGGCCCTGGGAGGCCAGAAGGCTGGGCCCGTGGCCTTGGGAAAGACTCAGGGCCAGGCCACCAGGAAAGCTCAGGGGGCCGGAGGGCGGGGCAGGGCCCTGCCTACAGGACGGTGGGGCGCAGGCCTGTGAGGGGCTGAAGGCCGGGGGTGGTGGTGACGGGATCCAGGCGTCTGCGGCCCAGCCCCCTGGCCTGGATGAGTCTGTGCACAGCCGGTGCTCAGCTGGGGCGCGCCAGGGTCCCCACGTCGGTGACACCTGCAGGCGTCCTTCGTCCCCACTGCTCACAAAGCCGCACGCTCTTCCCTCTTGGAGGGGACGCCGCTCCCTGCTCCGTGTGGGTGCGGACGGTGCCCGGCACTCGCTGGGGGAAGGAGTGAGGCCGGCCACGGTGCAGGGGGAGGTCTCCCCAGGTGGACGGGTGCGGGCACCAGTGTGGTGTCCCGGCCGCGCCCTGACGGCCTGGGCTGCCGCGGGGCCGCAGGCAGGCTGACCTCTGGCGCCCGGAGCTGATGCCCTTGGACACGGTCACGGCGGCCAGCTTTCAGGCTGCTCCCCGCTGTGGGCGCCAGGGTGGCCCTCAGGAGGGGACGGCAGCTGCCAGGACCATGGCCTGGGTGGACCGTGACCCTCCCCGGCTGCACCCCCTCTGGGCCTGTCTGGGAACCCAAGGCCAGGGGCCTGGCTGAGGGTGCAGTGACCCACAGTGGCTCCGTGCCCACCGCCGACCCCCGCAGGCCTCCACTGCTGTGTCCATCGGGCGGGGCAACAGCCTCCTGAAGGACCGGGCCAGGTCCTGCCGCTGTAGCCAGGGGCGAGCCCAAGAACTCTGGGGACCAACACCACCAGGGGGACGGGCTCCCAGGACACCAGAGTCCAGGCTGGGCGGGAGGGGAGTGCAGCCCCGGGAAGCTGCTGCTTGGTGGCTCGTTTTCTGGAGAAGGAACACACGCACTGGACCCTCAGCATGGGCACACCCGACCGTCCTTGGCCGCTTAAAATGTCTTTATGGCTCCTCTTTGTCTAAAAGATGGGATCCAGACCCCTCCCACCTCCAGCTCCAAACCTTCTCCTGGACCTGCCTGGAGCCCTTCCCACTGGCCCGCTGGCCGCCCCGGCCTCCAGCTGGAGAACTCCTGCTCCCACCGTGAAACCCCACTCAGTGGTCCTCTACTGAAAGGCAGTTTGGTGTCCTGGAGATGGAATGGGCCCCGGGGTCAGGGCCCCACCTGAGACTGGACAGACCCCTGCAGCTCTCGGGACTGTCCTGTGGCTGGTGATGATTTTCCTGGTCTCTCCCTCCAGACCTGGACTTCAGGCCTGGGAGCCAAGTTTTGTTTACCCCCCGCCCCCGCCCCTAGCCCGCCACCCTCCATGACCACGCACAGACCAGGACCTCCAGCCGCCACCCGGCTCCTCTCTCTGCCCGGCTCCGCCCTCGCTCCGTGCCCAGGCAGCAGGACGCAGGGGCAGGCGCACCCCTGCCTCACCCTAGGAAATGGGGGCGGGACCAGCACGGCCAGCAGAGTGCCACCCCTCTGGTGGGCAGGGAAGCCCGGTGAAGGCCGCAGGCCTGCCAGGAACACAGAGGGGCACACGCCCCCCAAGGAGCTGCGGGCTGTGTGTGAGACCGCGTGGGGACTGGGAATCATGCGGATTCACAAGTCGAGGGCAGCGCCCAGCAGACTGAGGAGACAGATGGGCTCCAACCCGCGGCTCCCACGGCTCTACTGCCCATGCCAGGGCCCCTGCAGGAGGCAGGCTGAAGCCCAGGGCTCACTCGGACACTCAGCACTTCCTGGAGTGGCTGCTGGAGCCACACCCGTGCCCTGCTGAGGAGGAGACCACCCTGTGGCCTAGGCGTGATGGGCACCTCTCCTCACCTGAGAAGGAGGAAGAGGGAAAGGCGGGCCTGGCCTGAGCAGGTGGTGGGAGGCCACACAGGACAATTAGTTCTCATGCTCAGCAGAGGCGTGGAAATGGCCCTCTGCCCAGGGTGGTGGGTGACTGGTCCTGGCGCCACCTAGGAGTGAATCACTCTGGAGGAGGGACTGGGTATCTCTGAGCATATTTCCAGAAGGCTTTCCACGTTGGCAACCCGGGTGCGTGTGCTGTGGGGCGGGGAGGGCGCAGGCAGGACCAGTCATCACTGCCCCACTCGTTGCCTTGGGCCCTGGCCCTCATGTCCTCACAGGCCTGGCCCCTGCCCGCTGGCCTCTTCCAGTCCTGCCCGCACTGGGGAAACCCTCCGCACCCTACCTGCACCTCCTCACCCACCAAGCACCTCCCACAGGAGCCAGAGCCTTTGCACACGTGGGGTGTCAGGAACCGGCCGCAGCCCCAGGCTCTGTCCTCACCTGCCTCTGTCACGACAAATCAGGTCTGGCCACTGCTCCCAAAGCCGAGCAGAACGGTCACCGTGGGAAGCACGAGAGGAGCTTTAACCAGGGCAGCACACCCAGAACCTGGGCACCTGTCCTCAGCCCTGGCACAGAGGCCGCAGTGACTTGGAGGATTTCTAGAGGGCATGGGGCAAGGCCGGGGTCTGCGCAGCGGCCAGTGCAGGTGGCTCCGCAGGAGGGATGGGCCGGGGCCTGTCCCCACAGGAAGGCTGCCACTGCCCCGGGTGGGGAGCGCCCTCTCTAGAGGGCGTGGGCCAGATCGGATCAGAACAGGCGACCTGGAGGAAAGGAAGAGCAAAGAAGGCCGAGACGCCCAGGCTGCAGTCCCCTGGGTCATTTGCAGGCCGGGGAGGGGGCTGGGTCCTGCCACCTTCCGCCATGAGGCCCCACTCCAAGCCTCCCCACCATCACACCCGGCCACTCCTCGCCTCCCCCAGGCCCCAGGCCCCCCGCTCCTCAGCCCAGCCGGCAGCACAGGAACCTCGACTCGCACGCCCACCGCGGCCTCCGCAGCCCCACCTGACTCCGTGCCCGGCAGCTGCCCCCTGGGGAAGGAGGCAGGAGGCCTGCCCTGGTTCCAGCGGCTCTCAGGACAAGCACTGAGGCTGGCCCCAGAGGCTGGCCACCAAATGCCACCTCGAGACCTCTGCTGTGCTGCCCTGGGCAGGGGGCATCTCTGCTGCCAGCCTGTGACAAGAGCTTGTCTGACCACGACTTCAAGCCCTGCCTGGGGCTCTGGCTGGGCCACTCCAGCTACAAGACGCCACAAGCAGGGTGGCGCATCCGCCCCGCCTCAGCCCTGGAGGAGGGCTCCCGAAGCCGGTGGAGGGGCCCTCCAGCCTCTGCCTGCTGCGCCAGCGCCACCCTGCCCCTCCCCAGACTGCCCAGCCTTGGCCAGGTCTCCCCATAGCCCTGGGCACCTTCCCTCCACGGCTGCCCGCACATCTGCCTGTGTGGATAGAATGATGTCTCTCTCTCCTGGGGACAGAGACAGCATGGAGACGGGGACAAGGTCCTGTGGCCCTGGAGGACCTCCAGCCCTGGCACTTAGTAGGTGCTCAGTGAGCACTTGTTGAGATCTCCTGCCCCCATCTGTCAACGAAAAGTCTGTGGTCAAAAACAAGCCTTCCACGGGTGGCCGTCTTCCTTTTAAATTTAATCTTAGGAATTTTGACAAGTGACTTTCTGGTTTTGGCACCGGGGCTGGAACCCAGGGCCTCGGCTGTGCAGAGCAAGGGCTCCGCTGCAGCCGCCTCTCAACCTTAGCAGGTTCTTCATGGCCTCCTCCTCCCGGGTCCTGGCCTTCTCCTTTTCCCATGGTACCTGGCGCACGTCTGGAGCCTACTCTGGCGGCAGGGAGGTGAGGAGGCTCTTTCCCCACATGGGGACTGACCTAATGGAAACACACCTTACCAGTCGAGCCCCACTGCTGACACGGTAGGAACACATGGGCGGCCCAGCGCCCGCTCACCCCCACGGGGCCTGCAGGGACAAAGGGCAAAGCACCTGTGGCCGAGCACTGTGCCCACCAGAGCCGCCTCCTGGCCCAAAGCCCCGTGTCCCTCCCCTGCCCCCGTGTCATTGGGCTAAAGGGCCCCAGGTTCTCTTGTCCTCTCTGGCCCCTCCCCAGGTGAGTCCTGGAGTTCACCTGTCCCAGGTGCATGGCTGAGCTGGACCCGCCCATGCAGTAGGCTCGGGAGCCCAGCTCACCTTCCGTGAGACCCTTCCCGCTCCCCGGGCTCCCCTGCCGCCATCTAGGTTTTTGGCTACACAAATTCCGATCTGTGCGGAGGTGAGTCTACCGTGGTCTGCGTTGCCACAGCCTGCGGTGTGTGGTCCGAACTGCGGATATTGCTGGGGCCAGGTGACGGGGGGGGGCCTGTCCACTGCCCTATGAAGCCCCAGACTCATGGCCAGCTGGTCACGGCTCCTCAGGGAGGGCAGTGGGTTCCCAGTCATCGGACGCCTCCCAAGACCCGGGGGTTAAGCTGGGCCCCTAGAACGTCACACCCGGCTGGCGGAAGGTTGGTTGTTTTAAACCTGCAGCCCTCAGACGACATGTGTGGCCTGCACCATGGCTGGTCACCCCGGGCCTCTCCACAGCAACCCCGGAGGAGGAGGAGGCTGAGAGGCGAGGAAATGTGGCGCTGGAGCAGGGGCCCAGCGTGGGGCCGGCCAGAGGGCAGGGGTGCAGTGCCAGGTGGCCACGCGCCCTCTGCCAAGAGTTCACCTATGGAATGAATGAGAGGCGGGGCACGCAGCAGCACCCCTGCCTGGGTGTGGCTCCCAGGGGCTACGGCCACCTAGAAGGTGGGATCCTGGGGTTGTCTGGCTGTGCCTCACGGGGGCTGGGCAGCGTGGAGGGCAAATCCTGGGCCTGGGCCACTGTGGTCCCTGGGGACCAAGACACTGTGGGATGTGCTGGGGCCGGCCCTCCTGGCCAGGAGTGAAAGCTGGGCACTGTTGGCTCTTCCTGCCTGAAGGGAGCTCAGCCCCGGCGCCCGAGGACCTTTTTAGGGCCAGCCGAACCTCACTCACTCAGAGCGCCTTCCCTGGGCTGCTGCAGCGCTGGGCACAGCCCCAGGGCCTCAAGCTGGGCAGGGCAGGCAAGGCTGGCGCCACAGCGGCATCTTGGGACAGGGAGCAGCAGGGGCAAGGAGCCTGCTGCAGGGATGAGCACAGGGGGCCGGGTGGCCCGGCTCCTCCAGCCGGAAGCCCTTTGGAAGGAGCAGCAGGGTCCCAGCTTCCGGTGACGACCAGGTGCTTGTTAATGATGACACCTCACTACCGCAGACAGACCAGGAGGTGTAGGCTTCCAGCCCTCGCCAACCATCGGTCACCAACAAGGCCACCCAGCAGCAGAGGGAGCCTGTGGAAGGTGTCAGCTGACACGACTGAGCACAGGGTGCTGCACCCTCCTGCTCTCCGCATGGGCCCCCAGCTCTGCACACTCGAGTCACCACGCGGCTATCCCCACTAGTGCTGCACTTCTTCTCTGTGGTGCAGAGGGTGGCACCAGGGCCTCGGGCCTGCTAACCGTGTGCCTTTTTATTTTAACTGACTGGGGTCTCCCTCAGCTGCCCGGCTGGCCTCAAGCGCTCCACCTGCTGCTCAGCCTCCTGAGGTGCTGGGGTCACGGGAGCGTGCCCCTGTGCCAGCTCACGACCTGATTTTGGTGAGACAGAATCGAAGCCTCGTACCCACTGTGTGCCACCGGCAGGCCTGGAGTCCAGGGGGCTCACGCGGCCACACACACACACTGCTACCCTGTCACTTGGCTTTCTGCTTGGTGAGGGCTCCACTCCTCCCTGGCCTGGCCTTGTTGCTGGTGGTGATTCCTCTGGTGGGCACCTGCGACCCCTCACAGGGTCTCCACGGAGTGCGCGACTCCAGAAGGAAGGCTTCCCAGGTGAAATGGCTCTTCACCGCAGGCTCCGGTGGACGGGCCCTGCTCCGCGTCAGCAGCTGCAGGGTGGCTGGCCATGTGGCACATGCACATGCCACCCTAGTCACGGTTACCATCTGGTTCCAAACTCGGTCCACAGAGGGACTATGTGGTCAGAAAGTGGCCAGCCGGATGGCTCGGCAGTGACCGTGGAAAGAGGAACATGAAGCTAGAATGTGCACGGGAAGCCGGGGGCTTCTGGAAGCTTCCAGGAACGAGGCAGGGGTCTGCGGCCTGGCCACCAGAGGGGACGAGCGGGAATCGAGGAGGGCAGCAGAGACTGGAGAAGGGTTAGGAGGCCCCTCCCCAAGACGGTGGAGTAGGGGTGAGGCCCTGCTGGGAACAGGGTGGTGGTGGGGACAGGAGAGGTGGGAAGGCCACCATGAGGACAGGTCCAGGGTCCCTGCTGCCAAGGGGGAAGCGAGTGAGCCCAAGGAGAGGAAGGCCTGTGTGGCAGCAGGTGAGGTCAGGGACAGGCT